CTGGTTAAAAAGGGATTTTGTTGGGAATTGCCGAAGAAAATCTCAAAGATCTAGTGCATTTCAAAGAATTGTAAGCACACAATAATGAGGATATACATACATTGTATTTAAAAAAAATTACTGGAACTTTGTGTTTATTTGTTGATAAAAAATTATTATAGTGATAAAATTTATTGATCTAAAACTGTATTAAAACTGTTTCATTTGTTTTACTAGATATTTAACAGGAAATCCATGTACAGAGTATGAAGGTTACAGAGAATATGTCATAGCAACATTACCCAGACTGCAGGTAAATTATACCTACATGTACATGCTTATAATGAATTACACATACATTGAAGTGATTTTTCCCAATTGGTTCTAAATGATATTGTTACAAGTATTATGATGGATGTAATGAATTATGCTTATAATGAATCAATGTTGTTCATCCATGGCACTTCACTATTTTATGTTTTACTGATTATGTTTTGATGCGGTTATTAATATATAAATATGTGATTTTTGTGATTGCAGCATCTTGACGGAAAAGCAGTAGAAAAGTCAGAGAGAATAAAAGCAATGCAGGTAAGAATTGAATTCATTTTAGAACATTACCATTGAGATTAATTTTGGCTAGAAAAACAAGTTAAGTTTGGGACCCACATGAACCCTTAAAATTTTAAACTTTTTTAACAGACCTGATTTTATCTTGTTGGATCTGTTGTCAATTCTAAAGTAATTTCCTCACTATGTTTCTTATATAAAATAGAGAGAATTATTTAGAGATAGCTGTGGTACTTCAATTAAGAAATAATAAATCATTTTTAGAGTTTCATTGGGGTATGACATGAAGTCGGTCACGTGATCAAATTCTATAACACCCTTTGGGTGTTATAGTAAATTTGATGACGTACCGACTTCATGTCATACCCCACTGAAACTCTAAAAATGATATCTTTCTTCTTATATTTATATTTTACATTTTTATTCATGTTACAAAGAAATATAGGCATTATTTAGATGTTGATTTTGAAATGCAACGTAACGTATCATGTGATGTCACAGTCGGAACTTTCCAAATTGCTCGTGCAGGTTGCTTTCCATACGCAAGAAATTCTGATCATGTGAACTTTCCAGATTGCTCGTGCAGGTTGCTTTCCATACGCAAGAAATTCTGATCAATTGATCAACAATGTCATTGAAAATTTAATTTCAATTTTATTATCATTGTTATATAAGGAAAGACATCAGCAAATGTAAGTATTCATTGATATAGTGATATTTTTTTGTTACTGCCAGAATGTTGGACTATTAAGAGGATACATTGTAGAACAACAAAACAGACACAAGAAAAAACGAGTAAGTCAAAGGAATTTTCATTGAAATCTGCTATTTTAATACATGTAGCCAAAACTTTGATACACAAAATGTGCATATGATATGTGCATATGAATTAATTATTAAACATCTATTCTGAAGTTGAAGGAAAAAGTAAATGGTTTAATATCTGCCTATTTTTAAGTTAAAAGAAAAGGAAGAGATCAAGAGACATGAGGAATCAAAACAAAAACCAAAGAAAGGCACTGACTGGTATACCAATATTGAGGGGTAGGTAACTAAAGAGTTATCCAAAGGCACTGACTGGTATACCAATATTGAGGGGTAGGTAACTAAAGAGTTATCCAAAGGCACTGACTGTATACCAATATTGAGGGGAAGGTACATGTAACTAAAGAGTTATCCAAAGGCACTGACTGGTATACAAATATTGAGGGGTAGGTAACTTCAGAATACTGTAGAAGTACTTTTTTCCGCGTGGTATTAATTTACGCTATGTACGCGGTCACAGATAATCCGCGGAAATTTGTCCAAGTGTACTTAATATAAATGTAAGGCATATAGTGACAGTCAAGAAAATCCGCGTAATTTTCTACCCGTGGATTAAACAGAAATTGAGATTCCACGGAATTATGACCCCGCGGAAAAAAGTACGTCTACAGTATCTCAAGTGCAGAGGCAAATGCATGTATATTGTTTTAATTTATATAAGATTAAGCTCTAAAAATTTTCAGTTGTATGTTAACCCCTTTCATGGCATATACACATTTCTACGCATCTGACTTGAAAAACAAGTATAGTGTGAAAAAACATTCATAACTTCGTTAATACTGCAAATATCAGAATAATTCTTGCACCGTTGGAAAGAGAAAATAATGATGATAAAATGATAAACAGAATTTTATTATTGATTGTACCAGTTTTTTTTTTTTGCTAGCTTGAGTTAAATTTTGCACACAATTTGAGCAATTTTGCCATTATCGAAATCAATGTGGGGTAACATGTAATATGTAAAAATGCTAAATTCCGGTGATTACCTCCCAACTTACCCAATCCCGTAGCTGCAGAACAACCATAAATACATTTCAGTCAGTAGTTATTTGTCTCTGTGTTAATTATTGGTTTGTTCTGTCATGTGGATAGTAAAGGAATACATGTGAATAGTAAAAGAATAAATAAATATTGAAGCATAAAAATATCATATTTTATTTATTGTTGTTGTATACTTTTATTGAGCAATTTTCAGTCTTTTGAATGACAATTTAATTGGCCCATGGTTTGAGATTTGATAATACCGGGTACCGGGGTAGTTTCAATTTTTGGGAGACCATTACATTTTTGAAATATTAGTAAACTTTTTGTGGTTTCAGCAGTGATAAAAAAACATCAGAGGAGGTAGGGAATGACACTAAATCTGGGTCACATGATGAAAGTGAGGAGGAGGAGGATGAAGAAGCATTGGCAGAAAAGGACAAAAAGTGGGTCACATTTAGTTTAATAGAAGGACTATAAGCCAAATAGAATTCTATTCATGTATTGCATTTATGACAAATTTCAAGTGCACTTGATTTATTTTGTCAGCTAGCTATAATTATGATAAATCTTGCTTAAGTTTGGAAATTTTGAGTCCATTATATCATCAATATGCATTAATTTATTATTATGCCTTCTATGATTTTTTTTCTAGATTTTGGGAGGAGGAAGTTCCCTTTACACCCGAGTCACGAGTGGCCGTCCATGAACACATGAAGAAACTCAAACAGAGGGAGGACCAAAAAAAGTATATACAATCAACATGTACTTAAAAATAGGCTAAATGTTTGTAAATTGTGCTAATCATTTTTAAGAAATTCAATATATATATATGTTTTTTATCCCTTTAACAATAGTAAAGCCCCACCCAAAGAACCAAGACGTCTCTTTGCTGAGGATGGGAGACCACTCAATGTGAATGAGGCCAAGTGAGTACATTTCACAGAAATCCTAAGCAAATTTCTATGGATAGAAGAATGCTATTAATTCCTATTTCTGCTCTTTATCCTAATATGAATGCAAGAATTTTCTAACTATTTTGTATCTATAAGGAATATAAAATGAAATTATTTTTTTCTGCTAGAATTGACTTCACACTTACTGAGGATGAGAGTGAGAACAACATTTTACTGGATGTAGCATGCTTTAAGTAAGTCTACCAGTGTCTAAATGATAAAAACAAAAATTCATGAGCATATCTCGCTCATTTCTACTAAATAACTATCTTACAAAAATGAAGTATTTTGAGGAAAAAAAATAGGCAATAAACAGTTCCTAGCAGATTAAAAAAGTCATTTTTAATTTGTGCAAGCTAGGGTATAACTTTGCCTCAGATTTCATCAAATTTAGACCCCCCCCCCCCAAAAAAATAATATCCAACTAAAGGAGAAAAAAAAATTAAAAAACAAATGCAAAATATGAAAGTTTGCATAAATATACATTTTATCATTTAGACAAAAATTAGAGATAATATGCTCATGAATTTTTGTTGCAGATAATATTCAATAAAATGATGATTTTTTTTGAAAAGGTAGTCTCATGTAATTGTTCAAAATTAAAAGTTCTCACAAATAATAATTACCAGGGGTAATTAAAAGTATGCATGTTTTTTGTATATACATATACTTGATCATGTCTATCATCCAGTCTGGTTTGAGTGAGCCAGTTCTGGTTTTCCTGGCATGTAGATTACCATGGTTACCAAAAAAAACCAGATACATGTACAAAGAAACTGATTGGTTGTGAAAAGTAACCAACAAAAATTTAAAGACCCGAGTGCATTGTCTCTGTGTCATACTCAATAATGCTTTTTTCACAAAAGTGCCATTAGTGCAAAGGAAAAAAAGTTGCTAACTTAATGTGACTTCGAAAAAAGGCCATCACTTATAGAAAATAAAGTTCCAAAAGCAGTTCTATATAATCGTTAGTATTCACTGTTTGAGGTTAATTGCTTACATTGATAAGAGTGCCAGCTGATTTAATATTAATCAGATAACTTTTTGATGTTCTTCCAGACATATGGACACTTCTCTGATAGATTGTGATGTTCAGCCAAATTATGTCAGAGTCACCCTAAAGGGAAAGGTAAGATCTGTAGCTTTTTAAAATTATTTTAATATAAAATCAGACTTCCTCAGATAGGTAAACAGCATTGTTGTTGAGTAATAATACAATACATCAAAATTCATTTTTAGCTCACCTCAACAAAGTTAAGGGGAGCTTATATGATACCCTCGGCGTCGGTGTCGGCGTCCCGGGTTAAGGTTAAGTTTTTTGGAGCAGTTTTCTTTTTAAGTACTTCTATGTCCTGTATTGATTAGACATGCATGGAAGAATGTTTCTAGTGTGTTTCATTGTACCAGTCAAAGTTTCAGATGCTGCAATTTCAGCAAAGGAATGACCAGGTAAATGTTTTTGGAGCAGGTTAACATTTTTGGTGCAGTTTTTGGTGTAGGTCTCATTTCCGAGTAACTATAAGCCCTATGTTGACCAAACTTGCATGGATGGTACATCTTAGGATGCATACTACCAGACTTGCTTCGGATGCTGAATCTGACCTACATTTTCTGGTTGAGTGAACAGGTTAAATTTTTTGGTGCAGGTTTCATTTCGAAGATACTACAAGCCCTATAATGACCAAACTTGCATGTATGGTACATCTTAGGATGCATACTACCAGTCTTGCTTCGGATGCTGAATCTGACCTACATTTTCCGGTTGAGTGAACAGGTTAAAGTTTTTGGTGCAGGTTTCATTTCCAAGTTACTATGAGACATATAATGACCAAACTTGCATGGATGGTACATCTTATGATGCATACTACCAGACTTGCTTCGGATGCTGAATCTGACCTACATTTTCTGGACGAGTAAACAGGTTAAAGTTTATGGTGCAGGATTTATTTCCAAGTAACTTTGAGCTCTATAATGACCAAACTTGCAGGGATGGTACATCTAAGGGTGCATTCTACTAGGCTGGCTTCAGAAGCTGAATCTGACCTACATTTTCAGGATTAGTGAAAAGGTTAGTTTTTTTATACAGGTTTCATTTCCAAGTAATTTTGAGCTCTGTGTTGAACAAACTTGCATGGATGATACATCTTAGGGTGCACACTAATGAACTTGCTTCAGATGCTGAATTTGACATACATTTTCCAGATAATAGACCTCGTAAAAGTTATGGGTGCAGGTCTATCAGGAAGAAACTATAAGGCATATATAAACCAAAGTTGCACAAATGATGCATCAAGGGATGAAAACTCTTAATCTTGCTTCAGATGCTGGATTTTAATTACATTTTCATGATGAAGAACAAGTTTGAAGTTTTATAGGTCTATTCCAAAGTATCAAAATTAAAATTGCATAAATTTTGCATTTTTGGATGTACACTTTTTGTTGGTTAATTGTGTGACTTAATTTGCCTTACTTAAAGACAACATTCGTTGAGGTGAGCTCTGTAATCTCTGATTACGTATGTTTCATTCTTCCTGAAAACTTCCATTGGGACCCTACTAGAAATGCAGGCAGTTGCCCTTTAATTCATTTTAAACACTTCTTAAAACCGGATAGAAGGGTTTTGAGTTTTTTACCTGTCATTCACATTGAGGTTACTGTAGATTACATGCAGTAGAAAGAATAGATTGCCACCTTCACATGAATAATTACTCAGAGTTTTTGTGTACATGTCCTGCTACATTTGAAGTTGAAATGTATTGACTTGAAAATTTTTTGTATACTGCTCAGCTGTTCCAGCTCTGTCTACCAGAGGAAGTGAATGCAGACTCCAGTACAGCAAAGAGGTCCCAGATTACTGGTCATCTCTTGGTCACTATGCCGAAGGTAAAATGTCATCCTTATGTTTACTATATTTTAGTTTGATAATTTTAAAAATATTCTTCTTAAAACTGTATAAGTGATTTGATTTTTCAGGTAAAGCCAGTTGTAAAACCAGTAAAGCCACCTAAAGCAGAGGTCAAGGACGATAATAAGGAGAACAAACAAAAGGGGAGCAGGTAAGAATTAATAAACCATTTTACTCACCTGAGTCTCTTGCTCAAGTTAATATGCATGTACATGAGGCAGATATGAGCATGTAATACATGTTTCCAATGCTAGAAGTAAGGATAATAATTTACTGTCTTCCAACTTTTCATCTTGATACCAAAAATCATTCTTATATATAATGTATAAAGCTGTAATTAGGGTACATTGTATGTATTCCTCTTTTTAGGAACACTCATGAGAGACTGGAAGTGGACAAGTCAGCTCACAAGAAAGTGGATATTGCTAACATTGTGAAGGAAAACATGGACAAAGTTGTTCCCCCTCTTGGTCATAAATCCCGACAGAAAGCCGCGGAGCGTGCCAATAGTGAGGGGTTTGTGGATGACCCTGACGTTCCACCTCTAGAGTGATCTTCATCAATCACGTCATCATTTTCATAAAAATATGTTCCGTCCAGCTTATTAAACTGAATTTACAAATTTTGTTCTTGTTTTCCTTTGATTGTAAACTAAAATCGAACTTACAAAGTTCTCTAGTTTTTTAGCTCACGTGAGCGGAAGGCTCAAGTGAGCTTTTCTGATCACATTTTGTCCGGCGTCCGTCTGTCTGTCTAGCTGTCTGTCTGTAAACTTTTCACATTTTCGACTTCTTCTCAAGAACCGCTGGGCCAATTTCAACCAAACTTGCCACAAAGCATCCTTGGGTAAAGGGGATTCAAGTTTATTCAATGAAGGGCCACGCCCTCATTCAAGGGGAGATAATTGGGAATTAATGAAAATTTGGTGGTATGTTTCTTCTCAAGAACCACTGTGCCAGGAAAGATGAAACTTATGGGAAAACATCCTCAGGTAGTGTGGATTCAAGTTTGTTTAAATCATGACCCCCGGGGGTAGGGCGGGGCCACAATGGCCGACCAAATTTTTACATAGAAATATATAGGAAAATTCTTTAAAAATCTTCTCAAGAATAGCCAAGCCAGAATTGATCATATTTATATGGAAGCATTCTCAGGTAGTGTAGATTCAAGTTTATTCAAATCATGACCCTCGGGGGTAGGGCGGGGCCACAATGGCCAACCAAATTTATTCATAGAAATATATAGGAAAATTCTTTAAAAATCTTCTTCTCAAGAATAGCCAAGCCAGAATTGATCGTATTTATATGGAAGCATTCTCAGGTAGTGTAGTTTCAAGTTTGTTCAAATCATGACCCCCGGGGGTAGGGCGGGGCCACAATGGCCGACCAAAGTTTTACATAGAAATATATAGGAAAATTCTTTAAAAATCTTCTTCTCAAGAATAGCCAAGCCAGAATTGATCATATTTATGTGGTAGCATCCTCAGGTAGTACTAGTGTAGATTCAAGTTTGTTCAAATCATGACCCCCGGGGGTAGGGCGGGGCCACAATGGCCGACCAAAGTTTTACATAGAAATATATAGGAAAATTCTTTAAAAATCTTCTTCTCAAGAATAGCAAAGCCATGAACAGTCATGGGACTACTTTTGGATTTAAACTTTCAATAATAAACCATTTTCTACTTTTTCTTAGCAACAGTGCTCAGGTGAGCGATGTGGCCCATGGGCCTCTTTTTAACAATAGATTCAACCTGCAGTACATGAATATCCATATCATCAAAGTTTAGTTTTGCGTACTAGTATGTAGTAGTGTTAGATACATGGTTCTGCTACATTTAGTACCTACGTTTGGACCCAGGTGTTTTCTGGCGAGTGAGAGTGATTGCTGTTACTTAGCCCCAAAGGTGTCAGCAAGCCAAAAGAGATGAGGACATCTCATTCTCTGGAGGGGGGCAATGTAGTAGTGTCAGATAAATGTCAGCTTACTAGCTTGGGTTAGCCCTTTAGCTCAATCTGTAGGGTACTGGAATGGTATGCCAGAGGCCTCGGGTTCAATCCCAAGCAGAGGCAGTTACATGTCTCTGTTACACTGAGAAGGGAAGAAATTAAGATTTTGATTTTTTGGTAAGGAGTGGACATTGTAACCATAAGGAATTGGACACTTGGTCACTGAGATATGTGTTCTTTCTCATCTACTGAGCATGGAACAGAAACACATTACATGTATGTAAAATTGTATGTAGAATTTGTATATTCAGCATGTAATAATGTTCATTATCTAAATTATACTAAATGTCCATCAATTTTTAACACTCAATGATAAATTTTGATTCCCTTGATTGACAGGGATGCACAAGTCAGGTAAATCTGAAGGTTAATTATTATCTCAGCCTTTAATTTTATGGTTTGATCAAGTCAATGAATGCAATTCATAATAATGCTAAGAATATGGTACATGTACTGTCAAAACTATTTGGTCTCAGTCCATTTTATTGTGAAGCAGAAAAAAGGGTTATGTCTGGAAAGTGGAGATGAAAATAGGATTGGGTCATTACAAATCTTTTTATTATGCCCCGCCATGAATATGGCCGGGGCATATAGTGTTTGTCATGTCTGTCTTCTGTCCTTTCGTCACACTTTGCATTTAGCTCTGTTCAAAGCTAAGTTTCAAAGAAACTATCCAAGATATTTTCATCAAACTTCATATGCTGATAGATATTGATGAGATCTATGCAACTGCATCAACAGTTTTTGACCTTTCCTTTGACCTTGGTCTCACTTTTCTTAAATGAGTGTTTAGCTCAGTTTTAAACATACCATTCAAGATGGTGTTATCAAACTTCACATGTTGATACACACTTGCATGGATGATAGTTTTTGGAGCAGGTCCATTCCTAAGGAACTATAAGCCCTACTTGGACCAAACTTGCATGGATGATGCATCTAGAGATGGACACTACCAGACTTGCTTCGGATGCTGGATCTGACCTACGATTTCATTCCCTAGTAACTATAAGCCCTACCTGAACCAAACTTGCATGGATGATGCATCTAGGGATGGACACTACCAGACTTGCTTTGGATGCTGGATCTGACCTATATATTTTCATTTCCAAGTAACTATAAGTCCTACCTGAACCAAACTTGCATGGATGATGCATTTAGGGATGGACACTACCAGACTTGCTTCGGATGCTGGATCTGACCTATATATTTTCATTTCCAAGTAACTATAAGTCCTACCTGAACCAAACTTGCATGGATGATGCATTTAGGGATGGACACTACCAGACTTGCTTCGGATGCTGGATCTGACCTATATTTTCCAAATAAGCAATTCAGCTGCATCACTATTTAAAGATAATTCTAATCAAATTTCATACACATACAAATTTTCATGTTGCTTTACTAATATAATCGATCCTCAGCGGGGCATTTATGTCCTATGGACATATTTCTAGTTTTTCAAGTACCACTGGGCCAGAAAAGCTATATTGTATGTGGAAGCATCCTGGGGTAATTTAGATATTAAATTGTTAAATCCAAGAACCCCGGGAGTAGGGCGGGGCCACAATAGGAAATTCAATTTTCACATTGAAATATAGAAAAATCTTTTAAAATCTTCACAACCACTGGTCTAGGAAAGCTGAATCTGTTAATGTAGATTCAAAATTTCCCAAATTACCATCCCATGGCATAGGTTGGGCCACCATAGGGGGAATGAAGAACAGCATTGCCAAGTTTTTCAGGTGAGCACTGTGGTCCATGGGCCTATGTTTAACAAATGTTTCTCAACAAATCAGATTCAACCAATTAAAATGAAAAGTATAAAATTCATAGCTATAATATATATCATACAGAAGCAACTTTTTCATGCATGGGTCAAGGACTTTTAAAATTTTTTTGGGGAGAGGGGGCACTGGTCTTTAAACAAACGTGACTCTAAATACATTTGTTTTTGTTTAAGACAGAGTGTGGGACAGGTCACTTTCCAGCTAAATTCTTGAGAGTCCCATGGAGGTTTGGATCCCTCCTCCCCAAGGATCCCATTCACCCTACTTAGATCCTCGGGGGGGGGGGGGTATATTTAGGACAAAATGCATTCTTTCTTATCTATGACTTTCTATGGTTAAAACTAAACGAATTAGATTCATTGGGAGTCTAGGCCATGCTTTTAATGTTGAAATATAATATGCTGACTTGGTATTCTGCACTCAAAATTAGCACGCAAACAATATAAAAGATTGATATACTAGTATCTAAGTATATCAATAAATATTTCATCATTTACATGTATAATTTATATTCTGTTTAAAGAATGAATACGTATAACATATAATGCAATTTATAACTGTACTTTTAAGTAGTTTATTAAAATACCCACAAGATTTGTTTTCCTACAGTACACTTAATTACGACCAATTAAGCAATAATGCGAAGGAGGAAAATGAAGGGGGGGAAAAGAATTTCTGTTGAAATCTGCAATATACAAATAACAAAAGATAAGTGTACATGCGGCGTTAGTTTATACACATTTCACGATTTAATGACCGCAGTAGAGTAATGAGTGAGGAATAATTAAATCACGTGAGTATGATCTTTGAACATAATTCACCGATTGAATTCACAAAGTAGTAGCAGGTAAATGCGCTGCAGTCTTTCAGATCTTTTCAGTAGAAAATGCTTTACAGGGGCCTAGAGATGATCAAGAATTGAGGTAAATATTCTAAACAGCCGTTAAAGCTGTTGTAATAAAAATATTTTTAAAGAATTGATTCAATTTCTCTAAAGAAGGTCGTCTATTTATGACATTCCCGCCACTTTCAAACGTTATTTTCGCTGGTCAGTGGTCAAACGACACGACTCCCAGATCTTCTTAGACAGTTGCATGTAGGTTTACAAGTAACACAATATAGTTTTATTTTATTTATAGCTAATATAATTTTAGGGGAAAATTGCACGTTTATGGATTTCATGTGCATGTATGTGACATGTACATGTGTGTGGTATGTATTTATTGACTGTACATTCATAGGTTGATTTGGAACCACTTTAGCAGTTTGAAGCAAGATCGCAAATGGGATATAACCATGATAACAGCACGTTTGAGTCGTACATGTAATATGAAAAAATAGGACAAAATATATTCGCATTAAATGTTGCAAATATGGATTAAAATTGGAAAAAAAGCTAGAAGGCTTTCGGTAAAGAGCTTTCTCACATTCTCAAAGTGCAACAATACTCATAAAATCAGTTGAAAACATGGAAAATTGATACCATTCGCTAGTATTTCTTTAAAAAATATTTCTCAGAACCACCCCCTTTTTTTTTTACCAGAAACCTAGCAATGTCGCTTTTACCATGTATACATCAAGACAGACTTGAGACAAAGACACATTAATATTTTTATCCTGCCGAGAGGTAGAGCATGTTCTAGGTTAATCGCCAAACTGTTCTATAATTGGAAGATAAAATAATGCGTATATATTTATTTTATCATGTTTCTTGCAAGTATTTGTAATTTATTTGCATCGGGATCGAAATTGTGAGTTTAAAATTATGACATGTGGCGCGAACAGCAAATTTGGCGTCAGTGG